CAGGAGAGAAAACAAAAAGAATAGTGTTGAATGAAAGGCCAGCATCAGAACACAACACTACCACATTATTTACAGAGTGAAATATATGGATACCAATCAGTTTTCACAAAAGGCCATACATTATATGCATTTCTGTCTGTTATGGGAAAGAGGGAGTAAGAGAATAGGTTTGAAAGTAGATTAAAGAAAACACGCACGCACACACACACACACACACACACACACACACACACAAACACACAAAGATGAAGTGGCATACAATGACTCAGAAAGTAACTGTCCTTTCTGCCAAGTCTGACAATCTAAGTTCAATAACTGGAATCCACATAGGGGAAGGACAGAAACAAAATTATCCTCTGGCTGATGAGACAGACAGAGACATACAGACAGAGACCAAGACACAAAAACACAGAAACAGAGGGAATAAGTGTTTACAAAGAAGGAGGAAAGAAGGAAGAAGAGAGGAGGAGGAGGAGGTGGGAGTAGTGTGGTGGTTAGGGAAATAGCTTAGTGAGTAAAGGCATTTGCCATGGAACCCTAACAACCTGAGTGTAACCCCCAGAGCCCCTGGGAGTAGTGTGGTGGTTAGGGAAATAGCTTAGGCATTTGCCATGGAACCCTAACAACCTGAGTGTAACCCCCAGAGCCCCACATAAAAAGCCAAATGCAGTGTGCACAGTTCTAACTTCAGCACTCCCATGGCAAGAACAGAATCAGAGACAGGAGAAATCACCTAGAAGCTCGGGGGCCAGCTAGACTAGAATACACAGCACAGACACAGAAACAAGCGAGAACCTGTCTTAAGCAAGGTGGAAGTAAAAACCTACTCTTGACAAGTTGTCCTCTGACTTCCACATACGCAGCATGGTACACATGCACCCACGAACAATACATATATACCAAGGTGACTCAGTGCTATAACTGCACAAGTTCATGACCTGTACTGATGACTTAAACTTTTAAATTCAAGTATTGCTACAAAACCACAGTTCTCTTTACATTTGCAAAATTTTTTAATTGTTCAAATACTGCAAAATGTATACCTGCTGAGCCACCAGGAATACCTACGTGAAAACAGCTTTGCCACTAAGCACAAAGTTCACACATTATTGCAGGCTTGAAATAGGCTTTAGAACTCCGTTTCTAAGCAGTATGAAAAATGACTTAACAGTTTTTAATATAAGTACAATAATATGCAGATTGAGTAAGTAGTGTTCTGTGAACAGCCCTCAACCCAAACCCATAGGGTGTTCCTGGTTCTATAGGACTTCTGCAAGAATGCAAGTCTATATCAATAAGCTGCATGAACAGCCTGGGGCTTAGAGGTTTGATTTCAACAGCGCACTTCCTCAAGGGTGTGGGGAAATGCAAGACTATTTCTCATCGCATAAGCTTTTACAGGAGAGGAAGGTGTGTGCCAGCTCCAGGCTGTGTGCTACCTGGACAGCTTCTTTGGCCATCTGGTACAAGCAGAAGCACGCGCATACCATTTAAAGGCTTCACTGAATTATTCTTACACCTCAATTATTTACATAAACAATGTAAATTCAGCTGCTTCATACTGGTCCCCAGTTTGCCCTGGCAATATGACCTTTGCCCCAGTCAACAGAGAAGACAGCTTTCCCTCCCTATGTCTACTCCTTTAGGTTGCAGCTCTGTAGAACAACAGACCTCTCAAGCCCCTAGATTATAATAAACTCAATACAAAAAACCTGGGAAAAAAAAAGAAAAAAAAAAAAAAAACCTGAAGATGTCACAAAACAAAAGAACAGCAATTACAAACTGGCAGGGAGCAAGTGAGACTGCTCAGGAGGTGCTTGCTCTGAGCCTGACCAGCTGAGTTTGATCTCCAGTGTCCAGTTGTTCTCTGGCCTCTATACAGACCATGTGCACAACAAACATAAGTATAGAAAGTTTTAATAATAATTGGCAGAATGGAGATGGCTGGCACAAGATCAAAGGTGCTGAATTTATGACAGACAAGAAACAAAATGGGCAGAAAGGCCAGAACAGATTAGGAAGAATAAACGTCTGCATCCTAGATGGTTAGGGATAGTTGCTATTCCCAGCTGAGATCTAACTGCATTTAGCCAGGAATACCATAGTAGGCAGTAGAGCATACCACTTTCTCCTGAGGTCGGGGATGGTGGTGGAGTGGCAGCAGTAACACTGTGTTTGTCCCAGACAGTTTCCAAGATACCTAGTAAGAAAGGAGAAATAATTTGAGAGATACTAAGTCCAGCATATAAAAATCAAAACAAACAAAAAACCTCCTGCTATCTATCACTGATCCAACAACCGTATTCACATATCCCTTCCACTCTGTGGTGTGTCTACTACCAGTTAATAGCTGTGCCTCTCTAGTCCACTTCTGGCTACCTCTTTTCATGCATTTATGTATACGGTGTGTGTGTTCACACGTGTATATGTGGGCATGTGCATGAAGACCCAGGGTTGATGCTGATCTTTCTCAGTTGCTCTCCCATCTCATTCCTTTGAGATCTCTTTCCTAGTATCACTAGACAGCTTGCTCTGGAAGCTGAGGCTGAAACAGCAGGCAGGGCACCACACCTACCCAGCATTTGTGTGGGTTCTGGAGAGGTGAACTCTGGTCTCCTTGCTTTAACTACTGAGCCATGTCCCAGCTATGTTTTGCAGATTCCTGTCCCAGTGCAGGACTTCAACCACTTCTTCATCTGGATCTTGCTGTGTGGCTTCTCCCACTGTTTCCTCCAACCTTGCTCTTTGTCAAAGCCACATGATTGCTACGTCTACTAAGGGTCACTTATCCTCCCCAGACATTCCAGTGTTCTAGGACACTACTCAACCCCTTTTCTGACACGTGGTGTCATTCATTCTCAGCCTCCCTCTGGCTCTGAGTCTGTCTTCCATCACCACAGCCACCCTCTGCCCATTGATCATTTAGATCTTTTACGTTTCCTCTAGTTCCCTCACTGGCATTCTCCTACTTCACTCTCCACTGCGGTGGTTTGCTTCAACCAAATGTTTCCCAGCCCAAAATCACTTTGACTCTATACATGAGCTCTACTGTTACATAACAGGGATTCAGAAAGCAGGTGAAGAATCCAGTCACAGATCAGTATAGACAAATACAAATACTTCCTGGGTCATACAACTTGCATACCCCAAACTCAGCTCTTCATCCCTACAAATCTACCAATGATCACCATACTTTCCTTACTGGGGAAGCAGCACAGCCTACAAAACTTGGTACTGGCCTCTCTATACACTCCCTTCCCAGCTTCATCTGATCAAGTCTTCCCCAATATTGACCCATTCACCTGCTGTGTCTTCAAAACACACCATTCTCCTTCCTCACCTCCACTCTGGTCCCCTCTGCTAAATTTCAACCTTCCCTTTCTTTCCATGGACTGCCACCTGTCTGTCCCTCCCATTTCCACTCAGCTGTCCTATGCCCCAGGTAGTCTTCCTAACCCTTAGTTTTACCTCCCCCAATACATCGATTACAACTCTTAAAACATCGCTTTTTAACTGTTTCCTTGCCTCTTCCACTAGACAGAACTTGTTCTGATCCTCTGTGTATCCTGACAGAGCCTGGCACACATCACCAAAGAAGCTCATAAAATACTCCTGAAGGCCAGGTGTGCTGGATTATGCCTTTTCACCACAGAAGCTCATAAAATACTCCTGAAGGCCAGGTGTGCTGGATTATGCCTTTAATCCCAGCACTTGGGAAACAAAGGCAGGTAGGTCTCTTTGAGTTTGAAGCTAGCTTGGTCTATAAAGTGAATTCTATGCCAGAGAGAGCTACATAGTGAGATTCTGTCTAAAAGCATACAAACAACAACAAAAAAAAAAAACTGCCCCCTCCAAATATTTATTATTATAGCATGGATAAACCCAGAGAACCTGTTAAGTAAGTTACACATAAAAGGTCACATGGGATATGCTATGATATATGATATGATATGATATGACTTTATGAAAGATTCAAAACAGACAAATCCCTATGGACAAAAGGTAGATGAGGGACTGGAGGAGAGAAGAATAGAGACCTCTTGTGGATTCAGGGTTGCTTTCTGAGGTAATGAAAAATGCTCTGAAATAAAGGCAATAGCTGCAAGACTTTCAAAAAAAAAAAAATTTAAGTCCCTGAACTGCCAAGTTTAAAGTTGATGTGTGCATGTGTCTTAGATGTGTTCTCAGAACGTTTTGTGTCTAGAGGCACAGACTGCAAGGCAGGTGCAAAAGACAGTCCCAACTATAAACTACATGCCCAGTTGATAACAGTAAGTTTGCTTTGAATGAATACATTCTGAGGTTTAAGTTTCCATCTGGGATTCAAGGAAGAATGAGGCGGGGGAAGCAAGTACACAAGTTTACCATCATTAATTATTCTTTCAAATCTATTTTAAAGTACCTACCAGATGCCAACCACTAAAACACATACGAGAGGGAAAAAATAAGATCCTGGATATCCAAATAGGAAAGACACAAGATGAAATAGCACCTTCCCACTACAGACTCAAGCAGCAGCGACTTCCAGGCACTTCAAGCGTCTAGTGGCCAGCAAACCCCGTCATGTAAGCTCCACCAACAAGACATCCCAATGTCCAGGATGTTCTCGCCACCTTCCTGCCTCACTATGTGTGATAGGCTTCCTCTCTTCCCCCTCACACATTGTAATGAGACTCTGATCAGATAGTTGGAATGAAATGCCACATACAACTACAACCTAAGGCACAAGGGCCAACAGCACACCTTGTCTTACTTCTCTGAGGAAATTTTTTTCATCTTGCTACTCCTACCTCTCCTAATCTTAAATTCAAATTATTTGAAATAAAGAGCTTGACACCTACCTACTTAAATTACACTATCAGCATGTGAAATCACATTCCTACGACCTGATATATATATCATTAGTCACATAGTGAGGACCAATTAAGAACAGACTATAAGAAAATTAAGTTACAAATCTCCTGTGACGTCTTAGAATGCACCAGACTATGGACCTGAGGCTAGGAAACCACCACTAAATTCTTGCCATACTTACACTCAGTCAGCAATATCTAGACGGCTTCGGCTCTGCACACCTGCAGCCAACCTGTCTCCAGGCACCACCAAGGCACGCACTCACCTGTCAAAAGCCCAAGCACTGTCTGCACCTGGTCCAGCAGCAGCTTCCGCAACTCCTCCTTCCGAGCCACACTGAGGTCCTCACGGGGACAAGCTAGCTCTTCTGAAGTTGTTTTCAACATGATCAGCCCAAGGGGGGTTGTCACAGGGGACTGGATCAACTGACAAGAAAAAGCAAATTCTGATCAACATAATAATGAGCTGCAGGGAGGATTAGTAAAATTCAACTGTGAAGTCCTGAACCTCACATGGGCAGACAACTTCAAGCAACACTTTTGAAAAAGAATTTAGAGGATCATTCATGCAGCTTTGCTTCACTAACCATTCAAATTTTATTCTCATGTTAGGGTGAAATTCTATCAGCAAGAATTTTAAAAGCAGCTGGAAACAATTCTCTCCTATACCAACAGGACAATTTTTACACAAGTCCAAATTGCCAGACAAGGTTTGGTTATTTGCCTAATAACCAAGAGATACAGAGATGCTCATATACCAAATGACAAACAACTCTGTCATGGATAGATCACATATACCCTGGTGGTCTTTTAAGATTACACTAGGCCGGGCAGTGGTGGTGCACACCTTTAATCCCAGCATCGGGAGGCAGAACTCTGTGAGTTCAAGACCAGCCTGGTCTACAAGGGCTAATTCCAAGACAGCCTCCAAAGCCACAGAAAAACCCTGCCTCAGAACCACACCCACCCACCCCCGGCAAAATAAAAATAATAATAATAATAATAATAATAATAATAATAATAATAAGAATTAAAGGTTGTACAAGTGTAACGGGTAACATCTGAAATGACCTAACTTAGTGCACATCTCTGGCTCTGCCTTCTTAATATTGTTCCCTCTACCTGCAGTACATTTTATTCTCTTCCATGTGACAAACAACTCCTCATCCCTCAGATTGTATGTTATCTTCTTTCTCCCAAAGATACAACTGAGCACTTTCTCCTTGAGTATCTGCCAATAATTAAGGGCATTTGTTTCATCATACTATAACACTATTATTAGATCGTAATGTTAGACCCCCGAAAGATTAAATCAACTTTATAGTTCTAAATATTTTATTTCTGACCTTAGCATGTTTCAAGAAAGTTTAAAATTAAACCTGAGATACGACTAGGTGTGGCATCACACACTTGAAATCACAGCAGAGGAGACCAAGGCAAACAAATCAACAGTTTAAGGCAAGAGACAGCAGGGTGACTTTGCAGACAAAAGTGTTACCAGGCTGAAAATCTAAGTTTGATCCCTGGAACACACCTGGTGGAAGCAGGTAACTGACTCACTTAAGGTCCCCTCTGGCCCCCACATACATGTTACCCGCCATCCCCTTGCCAAAACCGATAAATATAATTTTTAAAAAGAGATTAATGTTTTAATCAAAAAGGAAAAGAAACATGTGGCAAAGCAACACACACCCATGACATTGAACAACTCATGGTCTCATTATGTAACCCAGGTTGTCCTAGAACTTGTGGTCCTCCTCCTGCTTCAGCCTCTCAGATGCTGAGATTACAGGAATTCCTGGCTAGTTAGAGTTTTGCAAATACCCACATAATAAACTCAGTAACTATTTCTATCCCTGTAATACTGTCTTCCAGCAAGAGACGAAAAGATACACTTTCAACAGGCCAATGCTACTTATAGCATCCTACTTGTTTTCACAAAATTCAAAACAATATCATATGATGGGGATGTCCTTCTGTATGCTGTGAATTTATGTTTCTCTTATTTGCTAAAGAATAAAGCTGTTTCTGCCAATGGACAGGCAGGATGTAGCCAGGCAGAAAGTATAGGTGGGGCTACCAGACTAGGAGAATTCGGAGAAGAGAAAGGCAGAGAGTAGTCATGAAGGAGACACCTAGTAGCTGCTGAGAAAAAAAAAAGGCCTGAGCATTCTCCGGTAAGCCAAGACTACATGGAGATAGTTACATTAATAAAAATGGATTAATAATTAAGAGAGAGCTAACAAAAGAAGCCTGAGCCATAAACCAAACAGTATATAATTAATAAAAGCCTCTGTGTGTTTATTTGGGCTGAGGGGTGGCAGGACGGGGCTGGACAGAAACTTCTTTCAGCAATCATAAGAGTGAGCTGTTACTTTTACAAAAACTAAGAATATTTGCCACAACTAAAAAAAAAAAAAAAAACAATTTCCAGAGTACCTCACCCTTTTCTTCAAGCAAGTGTCACTTAAAATTTGGCTCTTCCCTGACTGTTTTACACAAAGTGTCTAAGCTTTAGAAAAGAGGACACTTAGGAATTGATTCAAGACAAACCAAACATTTTTCATTTCAACCAACCCAAGGTACACCACCCTTTCTCCAGAAAATAACTCTTCCCATCATAGACCACAGAGCTGCCCATCCATCTGGAAAGAATAAGAAAAACAGCTGGGGGGAAACAAGATGGATGGGGAGGCAAAGGGGTCACAAGGGGCACTTGCTGCACAAGATTGATGATCTAGCCAAAGTTCAAAATCCACAATGGAAAGAGAGACCCACTCCTGAAAGCTGGCCTAGCTTTGCATGACAACAACACCGGGTGTGTGCCCATATATATATTCTCTTTCATTCTATCGCCCTTCCTTCCCCTCCCTCTCTCTCTTTCCCTCTATTACACACATTTCTTAAAAATCAGTGAGGGGAATTCAAGGGCAAATCCACTATGCTCAGAAACAGTTCAAGAAAGCCAACAGTTGCCTATAATCCCAGCAATCTAGAGACAGAGGCAGAAGTTCAGGAGGCTATTCAAGAGCCAATCAGAAAAGGAGAGGAAGGAGAGAAAAGAAAGGATGGGAAAAGAAAAAGGGAAGGGAAAAGGGAAAAGGGAAAAGGGACAAGGGAAGGAAGGGGTGTCCCCTATAAAAGCCAGCTATCCTGAATGCTAAAACTTCCAAAGATCACATTTTCTCTATTTTGTACAAACTTCCAACTATTTCTAACACCTCAAATAATGTCTGCCTCAGTGTAATTTTTGGCTATAATAAAGTGGGATCTCATTTGAAATTTTAAAAAAAGAGGATAGTTATGATAGGGTGATAAGGTAGATTATAATATCTACTTGTAAATGAAAAAGTTTTAAATAATTTATATTGGTATGGATTCTTGTCTATTGAAACAAATTCAAAGTTGTTTTGTTATACTCCATATTTCTATTCCTTTTTTAAGATAATTTGTATAATGATACAAAGTCAAAATTATTTTGTTGTATTATGTATGTTCCTACTTCTTAAAATATTTTATAGATACAAATATATACATATATATATACATATATGTATATATATGTATATATATATTTCTACTTCTGGTTAGGATATTTGTATATTGATGCAAATTGAGGTTATTCTTGTCATGTTGCAGTATACATTTCTATCTCTGGTTAAGATATTTTTGTATATAGCCACAATTTTGAGATCATTGTCTTTATATTGTACATCTGTTCATAGCTTGCTTGTTTTTATAATGTGAAGCTTTAGTCCTTAAGCTATGCAGGTTAAGAAGAATTACAGGTTAATAGTCACCCATGTTTGTCAAGCTTATAGTCATGTTAGCTAGGTTTTCTAATGTGCAGAGATATATTCCAAATACATAGGTAATCTTCAAACATTTCAAAGACCTACAGAATATGGTACTTAAATGTTTTAATATCTTAGAATTCTTTTGACATGAGATATGACTGCTCCTGACAGCACCAATCTATTCCCGAGAGGATGTTGGGCACCGAAGACATTCCATATGGAGTTTGTTTTCTTCTTGGCAAAACTGGCCTACTGGGCAAGAAACTGTCCTTGCCTCGACTGCTGGCAGTAACTACGCTGTCCAATCTGGACCAGCAGGACACAAAGAAAAGTTGACTGCCAAACTTGGCCAAGACAGGGTAGAACAAATTTTCCTGTTTCTGAAAATGGTCTGTCAGATATTCTAGGACTATAGACAAAATTGGAAGCCTCAATGTTGCAGAGAAACATTAGGTGACTGTCCAGGCAGCCAGCTGTTTCTGTCATTTCTTGCAAGTCACTTGCTTGCACTTCCTGCTGACCTGGGTAATATTTCTTTCTCAGGTCTTTGATGAGGTTGAAGACTAGATAGTTACAGTTCTCTCGAATCTTAGCTAAAGACATATTAGGTAAAAAACTTAGATTCTTCAGGAAAGGACAATTATTGGAGTAATTTGCCAATTACCTATTGTCTGAAAATCTAGAATGTTTCTTACTTGAGCTTGTTTGTAGTTTCGTTTAGATTATTACTTTTTCTTTCTTCTGGACAATACTTGATAATTGTTCTCATTGTATGTAATTTTTATTATGTTAGGACTAGAACCTTCCTTTTTATTTTGGAATAAAAGGGGGAAATATGGAAATTCGATCCAATAAGCCAATGGTGTTGGGGCAGCTTGGCCCAATGGGCGTGGTCTTCTCTGGAGGTACAGGCTAAAATCAAATTGAGAGAGAAGAGGCATATGCTCTCTTGGAAGGTGGACGGACTGGCAGCCAGAGCACTCACGGCTTGGTGGAGGTCCCCCATCCCCCTTGGGAATGAGGCAGTGGTGGTGGTGTAGCAGCTAGACCCACGGTGACATAGCAGCTTCATTCTGTCTAGTGAGTGTGGTGCACTGATTTGCCTTTTAATGGATTGTAATGTGATACCTCTGGCATCCTCCTTTAACCCTCTTTAAGCCTGTGTGGAGATTTCTGGGCTCTCAACCCTATTCTGAGACTTTCCTTCCTTTCTCCTTTTATTTTCAACTAAGAACTTACTTTTTTTTTTTTTAAGAGGAGGTTTTAAACTTTGTGTATATCAGTTGTTTTGCCTATGACTATGTCTGAGCACCATCTGAGTGCCTTGTGCCCTCAGGTCAGAACAAGGAATCAAATCCCCAGGAACTGTAGTTTACAGATGATTGTGACCCATGGTGTGGATGCTGGGTCCTCTGTGAGAACCTCTTATCCACTGACCATTGCTCTCCAGCTCTTAAGCACTTAACCTTCATCTGAGAACAACCCATCCTGTCAAATACTCTACTTGACAAGATTTACTTTCAAGATATATATATAGAGAGAGACAGAGAGAGAGACAGAGAGAGAGAGTGTGTGTGTGTAGTCCATCATATCCCCTGAAACTGGGAACTGAATGAACCTTGTTCTTCT